TCCATAGTTACTCCTTTTTTTCCCATAGTATTTTATTAATATATTTTCTGATTAATTCTAATTACTTATTTCCACACCAATCACAATTGTGATTTTACATTGTCCAAACACATCGAAATTGTTTTCCGCAGGTAATAGCATTTGTAAAATCACACCCAAATTTAACAAAGAAGGAGAAGAGTATAATTGAAATTTTCGTTAAACATCGGAAGATAGAGTTAGAGAAAATATCTCACAATTTGCGTATGTTTTGAAACAGAGGGAATCTATTTTAATAATTGGATGAGTCAACAAATAAATTAAGAACGTATCGAAGAATTGGAGCAATTGTAATTTTAATCTAACATTATATACAACCAATATTATATCCAACCGATATTATATACAAGCATCTATATAGTATAATCATCTGCTATTATTAATAATATTAGATATAATTTAATAATGGATTTTATATTTAATATATTAATAGAGATGTTTGCTTGATTTTATTATAGCGATCCAATATAATAAACTGAGCTATATATAGTAAATAATTGCTTAATCATATATGATGATGTTGATATTTTGTAATATAAACTTTTATTTTTTTTCACTCTTGTAGTTGTAAATATCCATTGTATTTTTTTAAAGAAAGCCAAATAGATGTTTTTATTATAATATTCATTGAAAATATTTTGTTGTTCCTGTCCATTTTTGTGAATTACTGTAATTGTTAATCGGATTGCAACTGACGATTAAGCGAAACCTTTGCAATAATTTGCAAGAATACAACTAACTATTTAGTAAAAATATAACTGATTGTTTACATGAATATGATGAACTCTGATCTTATGAATTGTAGATAAAAACAAATCTTGAAGATTAAATAGATCTAAATACAGTAATAATTATATAAAAATCTTGAACATTATTATGATGCATTATTTCACTCGCACACACATACTTACCTTCTCGATTTTTCTTTTTCTTCTTTAAACAGTTAACTTACATAATATATTGTATAATAGTTATTTCGCAATTTTCAGAGT